CTGGAGGCCAGAGCAGGCCTTATTGTATTTTGTTTTTTTATTTCTAAGCTTCTTGTGGGGAGGCTTTATAAAATGTCAGTGGCATTCCCAGCATATAGGATGTGTGGCCAGACTTCTGATAGTATCAGTCAGGCTCCCAGGGCTAATCTGGGTCATGTCGTACCTGCTTTTGTACTGAAGTAGTTCCTGGAATCATCCTGGCTGGTCAGACCTAAGTAATGTGGTTTCTGGTCCTTTGGAATGGTTTTGGAATATCTGCCACTTGGAATGGCTTTGGGCATTGGGAAAGGGGGAAATCAGCTGAGGTGGTCTATCAGAGAGACGTGTTCTCAATAATCTTCCTCACACATCCCTCAGGCCTCACTGGATGGGCTGTCCGCGCTTCAGCTCCCTACTGTTGTCCGACTGTGCGGGCGATTTAAGTGCTCAGGCCCAACTCCTGACCCTCTGATAAGACTGTTGCTGCGGCCAGTGTTTAGCATTGCTAGAAAGGTCACAGTAGGAAGGGCCCAGGTACGTGGTATCTGTGACCAGAGAGCTGTCTCCCTAGGTGCTTGGGAGAAAGGCCAGGTGGAGCCAGGGAGAGAAGGGCCAGCGCTTTGCCACAGATGCTCCTGTGCTTTCACTGACCGGTGTTGCTCCCTGTTTGCATTCTAGAGCGTGAGTGGCCTTGAACCGTGGTCCAGTGCTTTGTGCCAGGCGAGAGTCTGGGCTGTGCCAGATGCTGGCAACTTCCTCACTGAGAAAACCCTGGTTAGCCCTGTGTGCTGGCACTGCACCCAACCCCCGAGGGAGGAAGAGACCGGGTTCCCTGCAGGGTGGGCTACTCATCCCCAGACCGGTGAATCCCAGAACTGGAGTCGGCTGCAAATCCAGGTGCCTTATGTGTGGCTCCATCCCATACACTGCCGGACAGACATCAGCACTGCCTCTTCACCTTCTGTTTCTCACTGGGGCTCCCTCAACAGATTTGTGTTCATTGAGCTTCAGAATAACCCCTTCTCTCTGTGACAGAACCCAGTCGGGAGAGTTTTTCTACTATTTGATGTTTAATTATTATCTAGGTTGTGGTTTCTGGAGCTGCCCAGAACTCTGCTCAGTAGAGTGTGTCTTGGAAATGTGTCCCAGGCAGACCACGTCTTGTAGGCTAGTGGGCTGTCTCTTACCTGCAGTGTTAGCTTTTGCTGGGAAGAGGGCTGAGGAGGCAGGCATTCTGGCTTGAATAGTGCTGTATCCTCTTCCCAAGAGCTTGCTTTAGTCTCACTGGAGACCGTTTTGAGGCCAAGTGCTCGGTCTGTGCCCAACAGCACAGGGATTTGCTGTCTTCTGCTCCTGAAGGTCTGGTGTTCTGTACCTGGGACTCTGGATTCTTGTGGCTAGCTACTCAGGAAACCTTGAGAAGCATTACCTCTCTGGGGTGTTAGCTAGGGTAAGTCTGAAATTCAAGCTTTTGTACCCGAACTGGAGAGAGAATTGGAAGTCATACCTTCTCTGAAAGTAGCTGAACTCATCAGAAGCTGAATCAGGAGGCCATGTTGTTAAGGAGTCTGGGCTATTGATAGCAGTTACCTGTGGGCAATAAGATGGGAGGAGAAAACCTACTTGCCTGGGGAGACCGTGCCCTCTGTTCAGAGCTGGTACCTGAGAGGAAGCACCTAAAGGGAACACATTCCAGCAGACTGACAGGCCCAGCTGGTGCCGGGGGGCCTGCTGCCTGCACCCCTCCCTCTTGTGTCTTGCTCCTTCCTGTCCCTCTGGCCTGGAGTCTCCTGGGAGAGCGACTCTCTTTTCCTGTGGAGCTTTTGGGCTAAGATGCCCTTTCAGCTGCTGCAAAGAAGATCCTGGCTTATTTTATTCTATGTTTTAAAGAGTAAACAGAGGAAATAAGTAAAAGTAGTCCTGGGATAAAGTAGGTCATCCTCTCCTCGTGTGTTAGCTCAGAGCTGTCTTGCAAGGAAAGTACTTTTCAGGGCCATGTCGGCCTTCCTGAAGACCTCACAGTCTTTGGGCCATCCAGTTCTCAAATAGGGGCGGTGATTTGGGGGCGTTGGGGCTATGCAGAGACTGGAGATTCTTGACGTGGCAGTAGCTGGGGGAATCTTCAGCTTGTTTCTTCAGTTGAAGTGGGACTCATTTCCGGAATGGACTTAATAGGCTGTGTCTAATGTACAGATTGGGTGAGTCTTGCTTTAGTGTGTCTTGCCACCCTCGATAGGCTCCCAGGGTACTCTCTTTTTTTTTCTGTAACGTCCCTTCCTTCTGGTGGCCGTTGTCACTCTGACGTCAGTGAGGTTGGGGAATGGGGACAGTTCTCAGAATCATAGCACAGACTCGTCTGTGTGTGTGGACCCCTGATGCAGAGGGTGCTGCCGTGCCTGGCCTAGGGACCCAATTGTCAGATCACCATGCTTCTCACATTCCGCGTCACAGGACATCTTAGGTACAAGAAGGGTCTGGTGGAGGTGGATTTACCCCTTGTTGCACAAACGATCATGTAAAGTCACTGAACTTGTGAAAGTCTATTTTTTTCCCTGTATATCTATTTTTCACAGAATGTAAGAAGCGTTAATGGCCTGGTCTGTCCTTCTTCCCCTTTCCCCTTCATTTGAGGTCCTTATTCCAGTTTGTATTGTCTTTGTGTCCAAAGTAAACTAGGTGACTTATTTGTATAAAATGTTATTTTGCCACAAGAGACAGTAATAAAAGAAAGATTTTCACAGTATGCGCGTACCCTCTCTGGTCTCCTGACTGGGCCCCTTGAGTCACGGGGCGGGCAGGTATGGAGTAGCGGTGGGCTCTGAGTTTCTTTACGTGGCTTTTCTGTAAATATTGGTTTAATGAGTAGAGCTGGTTTCTAGGGTGATTAGGGCACAGTATTGAGCTTTAGGCTTAGTATTTTTTGCTTTACATTTTGATGGAGTGCTTTGAGAATTAAAAATGTATATACATGTTTTTAAAACATGTTCATTAAGGTGTGTTTTAACTATACCTCATTTAAGAGTAAATTCACCTCATTTAAGAGTACAGTTTGGGGCTTCCCTGGTGGCGCAGTGGTTGAGTCCGCCTGCTGATGCAGGGGACACGGGTTCACGCCCCGGTCCGGGAAGGTCCCACATGCTGCGGAGCGGCTAGGCCCGTGAGCCATGGCCGCTGAGCCTGCGCATCCGGAGCCTGTGCTCCGCAATGGGAGAGGCCACAACAGTGAGAGGCCCGTGTACTGCAAAAAAAAAAACAAACCAAAAAACAAAAACACCAGAAAAAAAGAGTACAGTTTGATGAGTTTTGACAAATGGATACATGATCACAATCATGATACAGGGCATTTCCATCACCTCAGAAAGTTCCCTCAAGTGCCTGGTGTTTGCAGCCCGTTCCCTCCCTCTATCCAACCCCTTGCAACCATCTTCTGATTTGTGTCTCTTTTGGAAAACTTGTATACTTTTCATATAAAATTTACATCCATGTTTAAGCTCACAAACAATACAGGTTAAAAATAAGTCTGGTTTAGATGGTCTGTGGCACCTGAAGGCCTATTGGCCTCTGCCCACAAACATCACTCATTTCCCCCTTTCTCCTGCTTCTTGCTCTTTTCTTCCTGGTGCCCAGGTAGAGTTATGAAAGGTGAGGAAGCTTCGGAGCATTTGCCAACGACAGTAAAAGTACTGTGGATTTAGAGGATTTCTTTTGAATGCATTTCTTTTTTTTTTTTTTTTAGATTTATTAATGAAGCTGAGATCTTGGCTCCATTAATTTACTTATATTTTAATTAATTAATTTATTATTATTATTATTATTTGCGGTATGCGGGCCTCTCACTGTTTTGGCCTCTCCCATTGCGGAGCACAGGCTCCGGACCTGCAGGCTCAGCGGCCATGGCTCACGGGCCCAGCCACTCCGCGGCATGTGGGATCCTCCCGGACCGGGGCACAAACCCCTGTCCCCTGTATCGGCAGGCGGACTCTCAACCACTGCGCCACCAGGGAAGCCCCTGAATGCATTTCTTTTAAGTGCAAGGTAACATTTGAAAGACTTTGCTGCATCTTTTAATAGATCTGCAGGAAGCAGAGCAAGGTCTTGAAGGAAGACAGAACTTTTGGCGTGTGGGTCAGTGCTGGGGACAGACGCCTGGCTGAGTTATGGGGGAAGAAAGGCAGCTGGAGAGACTGGGTTCCTGGGGGCGTGTGGGAGGTGTCTGGAGCCTGTGGAAGTCTGACTCACACCTGTGCCCATGCAAGACCCTTGGCAGGCAAGTGAAATCGCCGTAGATTTTTGGGCAGGGTGAAGGCGTCCTGACGGACGCTAAGGACCAGTGCCCCCTGCTCCCGGTGGAGGGGTGGGGTGGGGGGCTCTGCCCCCCAGTTGGGAGTGAGACGGTGGGACCACAATGGAACAGGGAAGCAGCAGTGCCACCCCACCTGCACAGCCTCCCAGCAACCCAACTCCCCATGTCTACATAGTGAGCACCAGCGCAAGACAAGACCCTTGTCCCTCTTGGCGCTCAGACTTACAGGGGGCTTGATAAGATTTCAGATGCTACGTGCCAGGAATAAATAAAACAACGGGATGGAGAGTGTGTGTGGGGAAACACTGGTCTCCTGCGGTCAGGGCAGGCCTCAGCGAGTGATGAAGGGAAGGAGAGTTCCAGCTGAGGGAACGGTGGCTGCAAAGGTTTGGAGGCAGGAACCAGCTACAAGTATTAGAGAAAAGCTGCCCTGTGAGGCTACAGCAAGAGCATGGTGGGCGTGGGGCCGGGGAGGGAGGCGGGGGAAGGCCAGATAGGGCTTTTTAGGCCACGGAATTGGATTTTAGGAGAGATAGGGCCCCCCACCCCTACCCCTCGAAGAGCTTTAGGATCGGCCTGAAACCGATTTCGGAGACTTCCCCAAACACCGGACAGTTTGATTTATCTCCTGGGAGGGAGGCGGGGCTCAGGAGGACCCGAGGCAGGCCCCGCCCCCGGAGCGCGAGCGCGCGCCGGCCCCGCCCCGCAGGCCCCGCCCCCGGCCCCGCGCCGGAACCTGCGCTCGCGGTCTGAGGTCGCCTGGAAGAAGCCCAGTGCCGTTGCCGGTCTCCGTCCTCCATGGCCGCCACGCTGCTCGTCCGGGCCTGCGGCCCCATCCGCGGAAGTGAGTGCGTTCCGGCCCGGGGCGGGCTGGGCGGGCGTGGGACCCGGAGGCCGATTCTCGCCTGACGCAGGCGGGCTGGCGGTGCCCCTCCGGCAACGCGCGGCCTTTGCCCCAGTTGGGCTGCTCCTTGCGCCTGCGTGGCCCCGGCACCTGCTCTGACCCCCACTCCCAGACCAGTTTTCACCGCTGCACTCACATTCCCTCCCTTCATTGCACCTTCAGCGGAGGTTCAGGGTGCGCCATTCCTCGGGAGCCAGCCCTGGGATTGAACCCAGACTGTGCTTATGTGACCTTGGGCCCCTGTCAGCCTCAGCTGGCTCTTGTGTAAAATGACCACAGTAATACTGTTGTTCTCATAGAGTTGTTATAAGGATTAAATCACAGGTGCCTGGCATTATACAGGTGCTCAGTATTAGCGCTTGTGGCTGATTGCATACAGTACCTTTCCCATCTCATTTCTCTCCAGCTGTAGCAGCAGTGACACCTGTAGCCAGGGCTTCCTTTGCCTGGTCAAGACCCACTCACCCTGAATAATAATAAAGGGGACCCTCTTTGAGAGCTGTCTCTGCCAGGCCCCGTGCTAAGTGCTACAGTCAGTATCTCATCCTCCCAGCCCAGGAGCTAAGTACTGCTGTCCTCCACATTTAGAGAAACCTGTGAAGTTAGGATCCTCGCCTAAGGTCACAGAGCTGTGCTCTTACTATTATTGGTGTTATACTGGTGATTGAGTGGGATCATTGTACAAAGTGTTTAGCAAGCATAGTAAACATTCAGTGCTATTCCCAGCAGCAGCGCTATCAACATTTTGGGCCTATAATTTTTTGTCATGGTATCTGTCCTATACAATGTTTAGCAGTATTCCTGGCCTCTACCCACTCCATACCACCCTTCGGTTGAGACAACCAAAAATGTCTCCAGACATTGCCAGATGTCCCTTGGGGGACAAAATCATCCGTGGTGGAGAACCACCTAGTTAGTGGATCACTATTATTATTATTATTACTACGCAAGACCTCTTACATTCCTCTTCCACTGACTATTCTCATTGGCAGCTCTCCGGCCTCGGGACTGGTGTTGCTTACATACCATCTACCAGTCTGTGGAACTGCCCGAGACACACCAGATGCTTCGTCAGACGTGCCGGGACTTTGCTGAGAAGGAGCTCTTTCCCATCGCGGCCCAGGTGGACAAGGAACATCGCTTCCCGGCGGCTCAGGTGAGAGTTTAAGAGTACAGGTACCATCAGCTCCAGGATGATTGGTGACAGTGACATCCAGAGGCACGGAGACTGCAATCAAGGAACCCTAAGTGGGGGGTGGGGGTGGGGGTCCTGGGACCCAGAAAATGCCCTGGAGGTTTCCCTTGTCCAGAATGAGGCCTATAGCCAGGATGTAACTTCTGGAATAACAGTAATAATGGTGGATGGTTGATATGCTTACTACGTACTGGACGTTGTGTTGATAGTAATAGTTAATGCTTATAAAATGCTGACCACGTGCTCGGCATTGTCCTAAGTTCCGATGGGTTAGCTCACCTGTTTCTTTTCGTTTGGCCGCACCACGCGGCATGCGGGATCTTAGCTCCCCGACCAGGGAGAGAACCTGCGCCCCCCTGCAGTGGAAGCTCGGATTCTTAACCGCTGGACCTCCAGCGAAGTCCCTAGCTTATCTGTTTCTTAAAACTGTCCTATGAGATGAAGGTGCCATTATTACATACCCTTTTGTATAGTTGATGAAACTCAGATTGATGAGAGGATTAAATGTGCCCAAGGTCATGGAGCTAATGAGTTACAGAGCTAAAGTTTGAACCCAAGTCTGTCTTCTGCCGGCTGCTGAGATCCCAGTCAGTCCCCTCCTCCCCATGCCGTTGTATCACTCCATCTATAATGACAAGTTGGAGATGTTCCTGCTGTCTCCATCCCCTGGCCTGGCAAAATGTTTGGCACACAGTATACTCAATAGATATTTGTTGAGTACATAACTTGTGAAAGAGCCAATCTGTCTGGCCTCTTCTCCACGCCTGTTTTCCAGTCTGAGGAATTCAGGAGTTGTGATCATCATTCACATGCCTCATAGGCTCTGGGGCCACTTTTCCAGCTTAGTGAATGTTGTGTGTTCACAGTGTATCGGGCACTGTGCCCAGACTGTGGGAATACCCAAGGAGCTCAAAGTGGGGTAGGCAAGTGGCATTCTGAGCACCAAAATTAGTTGGGCAATGTTTAGGTGTTAAGCATTGAAATCATGTCATCATGTCCTGAGGGCATCCCCAGCTGCACGTCTGATCTCCATTTGGCTTCCTGGAATGCTTGCAAGGATTGTGGGAGATCACGTATGTCAAGTTCATGGTGCCTGGTACTTGAAAACCAGAAGCTATTAATACTATTATTATTTTTATTACAGTTGAGAAAATTGAGGCACAGAGAGGTGAAGTGATTTTCCAAGGCATACTGTCTGTGGACCAGTAGACCTGGTGTGATTGGCTCCAAAACCCTGCTGCATCCCCTAGCCACGTGCTTGTCCCAGAAGCCCAGCTGGGAAGCCCTGTTCTAATCGGGAATATTATCGTCAAGGGCCTAAACTACCCCTGTATCCTCCATACCGCCACACTCTGGTGCTGCCCTCAGAGCAGTTGTCCAAGACATGGCTGTATATTGGGGCTTTTCTGGCCAAATGACAGACCACTTGATTTATTTTTCCTATATTCCCTCAAATTATAATACTTATTATATTACAGACATAGACTTGCTTTGTGCAAGAAAACTGGCAGTAGAAACAGGCTTTCTACCAACCAACTCTTCACCAGTCCTCTGGCTTTGTAATCTCTTACTTGCTTTATAGGGCGGGGAAGTTTGCAAATTGATCCTGCCACTAAATAGTGGCAGAAATGGATGTGGAAGGAAGAGATCAAAAGCATCAGCCTCCTGCCTTCTGACACATTCTGGCACCCGGAGGCTGCTCAGTCCAGACTTGCTGATGCATGACCTAGCTCAGAGTAGTGATAGCATTTATTTGGTTTGATCTTGGACAGGTGTTTTCATATCTGTAATCTGGTTAGGTTATCAGGAGTCCTGCTATTATTTCCTTTGTCTAGAGGATGTAGGAGCAGTTGTAGGAATTGCGTGAGGTCGTAGAGCTCCGGGAGAAATAGATCTTCTGATCTTGCCCCTGCCCCACACAAACTGGACTCTGTCGTTTTGGTGGCTGATGGGATGCAGAGGTTGCTCAATGTTTCCCTTCGCTAAGGATTGAGGCCGGTTGGCTTTTTGCTTTTAACACTCTCTGTTACTGTGGGTAGTGCTCAGCTCCCCCCATTACAGAAGGGAATCCAGGGCTTAAACAGGCAGAAGGGTCAAAGCAGTAGACACAGGGATAATAGGGCAGGTTGCAAAATTAAAAATAATACCACTAGTGTTCTATTTTTTTTTTAAATTTTTTTAACATCTTTATTAGAGTATAATTGCTTTACAATGGTGTGTTAGTTTCTGCTTTATAACAAAGTGAATCAGCTATACATATACATATATCCCCATATCTCCTCCCTCTTGCGTCTCCCTCCCTCCTACCCTCCCTTTCCCACCCCTCTAGGTGGACACAAAGCACCGAGCTGATCTCCCTGTGCTGTGTGTCCACTAGTGTTTTAAAACGACGATAGTAATAATAACAGGAGTAACTATCATTTGGGGGTTACTGTATTCCAGGTACTTATCCATTAAATCTTTAACAAAACACCCTGAGGCAGTTACTTCATTGATCTCCAGTCTTCAGATGAGGAAACTGAAGCCAGGGGTTACATTTCTTGGTCAGCAGTCACACAGCTGGGATTGGAGGAGCCAGATGTAGACTCTGAGCTTCCCCCCCGACCCCACCGGCCTACAGGAGATGCTTAGTTAATGATATCTTTCTTTCTTTTTTTTTTTCTTCTTTTTAAAAATGTATTTATTTACTTTGGCTGCACTGGGTCTTAGTTGCGGCATTCGGGATCTTTTAGTTGCGGCATGCATGCGGATCTAGTTCCCCGACCAGGGATCGACCTGGGCCCCCTGCATTGGGAGTGCGGAGTCTTACCCAGTGGACCACCAGGGAAGTCCCTAGTTAGTGATTTCGAATATTTTTTTCCTGAAGAATTTTTTTCCCCCAAGAAAAGTGGGTTTACTGGGGAAGAGTCAAGGGGAGAAGAATTGAGAGGTGGGCAGGCCACGAAGGAGGTGGAAAGCTAGTGCCAGTTTCTGCTCATGTGGCTTGTTTTGTAATCTAAGCGGAACTTTACTCTTTCTGTGTCCAAATCTAACCCCTGCCCCCGAGAAAAAAAAAAAAGAAGTAGTTATGAGTTTATAATGCTTTTATGTTATAAAGGGAAATAGGAAATAGAATGGTGTTTCCAAACCAGCTTTGGACTCCGGAACCTGGAAATGTATATGTGCATTTTTTTTTTTTTTGTGGCCGCACTGAGCATCTTGTGGGAACTTAGTTCCCTGATCAGGGGTGGAACCCAGGCCCCCGCAGTGGAAGCGTGGAGTCCTAACCACTGGGCTGCCAGGGAAGTCCCTATATGTGCATATTTATATGTATGAAACTGAACCCAGTTTCTTTTCCTTCACTCAGTGAATGTTTATTGAGTAACTTTTTAAAAAATTAATTTATTTTATTTTATTTATTCTTGGCTGCATTGGGTTTTCATTGCTGCGTGCGGGCCTTTCTCTGCTTGCGGTGAGCAGGGGCCACTCTTCATTTGCTGTGCTCAGGCTTCTCATTGCAGTGGCTTCTTGTGGAGCACGGGCTCTAGGCGTGTGGGCTTCAGTAGTTGTGGCACTTGGGCTTCAGTAGTTGTGGCACACGGGCTCAGTAGTTGTGGCTTGCGGGCTCTAGAGCACAGGCTCAGTAGTTGTGGCACATGGGTTTCAGTAGTTGTGGCACACAGGCTTCAGTAGTTGTGGCACATGGGCTTCAGTAGTTGTGGCACGTGGGCTCAGTAGTTGTGGCTCACAGGCTCTAGAGCGCAGGCTTAGTAGTTATGGTGCACGGGCTTAGTTGCTCCGTGGCGTGTGGGATCTTCCCGGACCAGGGCTCGAACCTGAGTCCCCTGCATCAGTAGGCGGATTCTTAACCACTGTGCCGCCAGGGAAGTCACTTATTGAGTAACTTTAATATATCAGGTGCAAAACCTGCTTTTCATCCTCTTGCCCTATCTCAGATGATAGTTAACCGCATAGAAACCTCTCAAATCATAGTCCATTTTTCTTCTTCCTCATGTGCACAGACTTCTGTGAATTCCACCCTGGAAGTGTCCCCTGAATGGCACCGCCTCTCACCTCTCCCGGCAAGAATTCATCTCTCTGTGTTTCAGGAGTGTTCGTTCATAATCCCTAATTCTCTGCGTGTGCTTGTCACGTGATGGTGTGTATCCTGTGTCGCAGTTATTTCCCACAGTTACCTCCCTGAAGGCCGGGATTGGTCTTGTTCACGCCCCTACCTCCTCGCCCTCCGTAAGTGCTTGGCATTCAGCAGATGTTTGCTGAACTTTATGGACTTGAATTTTATGGTTAAGTCATCCTGAGTGTCCTTATTGTCCCAGCACTTATCACACACTGACCCAGCGTGGGAACTGGGGAGGTGGCTCCCGCAGCCCCTTCCCCTTGAATAAAGCAACAAATTTTCAACAAGTTAGGGAATTTGATTCTCTAAAAGGAGTCTGGGACTTCCCTGGTGGGAAGTCCCAGACTCCCTGGGACTTTGTCCCAGGACAAATTTGATTTTTTAAATATGTGAGCTTTAGAAGCGACTTAAAAGCACTATTTTTATATGAAGTGTCCTCTAAATGTGTCCCAAATATGAAGGCAGCAGGTGCTGAAGGCTCACTCTGCTAGGAAAGGGGTCCTTCTCTTTCTCACATTTTCTCTTGGGAGTTTGGAGACCACCAGGCTTGGCCCAGTCAGGGATGCAGGTCTGGACTCCTGGTTCACAGACACAAGGGGCCGAGAGTAACCACCGTGGGTAGCAGCTCTGAGGGGTTCCCCTTGAGGTCGCTCTGAAGGTCAGGCTGCTAGGGGAAAATATTAGGGAGCCTGGCAGCTGTTAGCCAGTTACCATCAACATGCTTAGATCAGGAATGATTTATACAACTGAACATACGGTCTTTTTGTGTGTGTGTGCTGCTGCTTTTTGTTTTGTTTCTGATTTCTTTTTTTTTAATATAAGTTTATTTATTTATTCATTTTTG